GCATCAACATCATTAACATGTCCATACTACCCAAAGCTATCTATAAAGTCAATGCACTCTCCATTAAAATACCAACAATATATTTCACAGACATAGGACGTACTCCCCAAAAATTCATCTGGAAAAAAAAAAAAAAACCCCGAATAGCTGCAGCAATCCTGAAAAAGAACAAAGTAGGTGGGATCTCAATACCAGATATCAAGATGTATTACAAAGCCACTGTTCTCAAAACTGCCTGGTACTGGCACAAGAATAGGCATATAGATCAATGGAATAGAATAGAGAGCCCTTTAACATTTCTTGCAGTGCTGGTTTGGTGGCGACAAACTCCTTAGCCTTTTTTTGTTTTTTGGTCTGGGAAGCTCCTCATTTCACCATTTTGAATGATAGCCTAGCTCAGTGGTCAGCAAACTCATTAGTCAACAGAGCCAAATATCAACAGTACAGTGATTGAAATTTCTTTTGAGAGCCATATTTTGTAAACTTAAACTATATAGGTAGGTACATTGTTATTAACTTAATTAGGGTACTCCTAAGCTGGCCTTTGCTAAAAACATCCTCAATCTGACTGAGGTACGTTCACTGAGGTCAACCCCTTCCAACTCTCCCATCCACACTCGTCCTGTATACTTGTTTCGTCTGTCTCCTTTCGTTCATCCTCTTTATATGTCCAAACCATCTCGACATACCTTTCTCAATCCTCGGCACTACATCTTCTTTCACTCCACAACGTTCTCATCTGACAACCTTATGGGAGCTCCTTTTGTAGGTAACAAATTGCTTTTCTCTTGCTTCTTTTAAGATTCTCTCTTTGTCTTTAATTTTTGGCATTTTAATTATAATGTGTCTGGGAGTGGGCCTATTTGGGTTCTTCTTGCTTGGGACTCTCTGTGCCTCCTGAACCTGTGTGACTTTTTTCTTTTCTCCATTTTGTGAGTTTTCTGCCATTATTTCTTTAACCACATTTTCTATCCATTGCTTACTTTCTTCCCCTTCTGGCACTCCTATTTTGTGGATATTGTCACATTTCATGTTGTTCCACAGCTTTCTTATGCTGTCCTGTTTTTATTTTATTTTTTCTTTTTGGTTCTCTGATGGAAAGATTTTTTTCAACCCTGTCTTTTAATTCACTGTTCTGATCCTTGTCCTTCCATAACCTTCTGTGTGTTCCTTCCAGTGTGTTCTTTATTAGTGCTATGTCATTCTTCATAGTTACTATATCTTTTCTCATGCTGTTGAGCATCTTTACCTTTATTATTCTGTGTTCTATGTCTGATAAATTTCTTATCCCCATTTCATTTAGCTCTCCTGGAGAATTCTCTTGTTTTTTCATTTGGGGTTTTTTTTTTTTTTTTTTTTTTTTTTTTTTTTTTTTTTGTCTTCACATTTTGGCTGCCTGTTTGAGACTGTGTCTGTGTACTAGATAGATCTGCTGCAACTCACAATCTCTAGTACAGGATAGTGTCAGATGCTGTTTCTGACTGGCCCTGAGTACCCTTTTAGGAGCCATCACCAATTCACTACTTGTGGCTCCCTCTGTTGAGGATGAATGCCTTGGGAAAGGACTAAGATTTGTGCACCAAGGCCTGATTTTCCTAGCCCCGGGCCCTGGATTGGATCAGGAAACACTCAGAGCCTCAGAGACCTGCCTCTGTTTATACACTGATTGTTATTCAGTCTTGATTAGTCTCAGGCTATTGACCACAGGGTAGGGTAAGAGGTTTTCCAACAGAGTGGGGCAATTGCTTCTGGCTGCAGGCTAATTGTTATTCTCAGTCTCTTAATGGGCCTCAGAAACTCCATAGGGTGCAGTAAGGGGTTTTCCAATAGGATGGGGCAATTGCTTCTCCCCCAGGCAAAAGCTGCCTGTATGATGAAGGTCTGCAGGAGAAAGGCATCCCCTGCAGTATGAGGGAATGACTCAGCACAGGAAACTGGGGTGGCTGCCTCCTGAGCTCTAACCCCACAGCCCTTAACCCTAGCTTCTGCCCACACAGCTTCAGTCTACTCTGTCCTCCCTCGGTCAGATCCCAAGGTGAGTGGCTGCACACAAAATTTTGTGTGTTGGCCCTTTAAGAGGGTGACTGCATTTCCAGCCATCTCTCCTTGGCAGACAGAAACCCTGCTGCTTTTCACAGCCAGATGTTGTGTGAGCACCTTTCTCAGTTCAATGATCTGGGTTGGGGAGCCCACCTTGGAGTTTGGGCTCCAGTGTTCTCAGTGGGAACCCCCAACAGCTGAGATATCCCTCCGGAACTTCAGCTACTGTCTGTGGGAGCCTGACAAGCCCTTTTGAAGTCTCTATGCGGTCTTCAGTTCCTGTCCTTTGTTATCAGGGTTCTCTCCAGCAAGTCTTCAGTTGATCATTCAGGATGGTTTTTCTGTATTTTAGTTGTAATTCCAGTTTGGTCCTGGGAGCATGTCAGTGTAGCTTCCACGTCTCATCCTTTTTTTTAGAATAGTTTATTGATTTTTAGAGAGAGGAAGGAAGATAGGGGGAGAGAAACACCGATGTGAGAGAGAAACTGCCTCCTGCACACACCCTTACTGGGGCCAGGATCGAACTTGCAACCCTGACCAGGAATCAAACCGAAGACCTTCTGGTGCATGGGATGACCCTCTAACCCACTGAGACACACTGGCTGTCCTTTAAAAAGTTTTTTTTAAACTTTTTAAAAATAAGTTTATATGATACAGTTTTACTCTCAGCTCCAAAGGTGGGTCGTCTGATAAATTAATTTTGCTAATCCTTAAAGGAAATCTTCAATGCCCATATTCTAACACCTTTCATATGTTTCTCTTTTTGTTCCAACTTTCCCATATGCATCACTCATAGAGGGCTTTTTCTCGAAGACCTGTAGAAACTATTAAAAATAAAGCTTCTCTCTCTCTGCCCTTCTTCCTTCTTAAGAGGTTTGCATAAATGTGAATCATTTACCTTTACTGACTCATGTTCCCATTTCTCTGCATGACAGTGTCTCTATTCTCTCCCTTTGCATCAGGTCAGCAACAGCCCATTGTCAGAAGAGGCTGTCCTGGGATTTGAGTATGGGATGAGCATTGAGAGCCCTACGTTACTGCCCCTCTGGGAGGCTCAGTTTGGCGATTTCTTCAATGGTGCCCAGATCATCTTTGACACGTTCATCTCTGGAGGTTGGTTTTGGCATATGAGTATCTAGTGGATGCATGATGCTAGCCTTATGGGGACAAATGAATGAAAAGGGGCTGTAGCTGCTTTTGAGACTCCTTGTACCACAGATCCTGGGGAGAGTTGGGTGTTGTCCTGTCATCCACTGGGCCATGACAGCTATCAGAGTTAAATAAGCTGAGTACTGCTCAGCTGTTATGCAGGGAGCACCTTCCCATCTGTGGGGGAATGTGTTTGGCTATAGCAAGCAGGACATGTTCCTACCAGGTCCTAAGTAGTTTGACTTTCAGATCTACTCTTGGGGTTTGTTGATTAGCTATGACATGAATCACAAGCAGGGAATGGTCACATAGTTGAGGATTTGTGATCAGAGTGAATGTCAGTCTTGAAAATCTGCTTCCCTCAATCCAGAGACACTCAAGTATCTGAACGTCGGAAGTTGTGTGTCTTGATTATGTTTAATAATCATTTATAAAAGCAGGACCTGCTTACTGTAAAAATTCAAAGTACATAAAGTACAAGTATGAGTTTCCCCCACATGCTTACCCCATTTTGTGGGGGTAAGTACTCTTGGATTATGAGTGTACACTATAGGTCCTTCCCTTTGTTGTGTTACTCTATATCTGTGTAGTTATAAGAAACATGCCAAGCAATGTCATCCCAGGAAATGTAATTTAAAATAAAATCAACAATTAAAAAGAAACGTGCCTTAAGGAAACTGGACTTTGACATGTCCAGAGACTGTTCTAACGTGCCTGTGTCTTGAAATTGAGCACAGTGACCTGTGTTGTCGGGGGTACTGTGAGGGAAAAGTAGGAGCTGTTCAGTCTTGGTCAGAGTTGTGCCCGAGTGCATTCAGCATGGCCATGCTGTTCTGGGAGCCGGATGTTTACTGTTGAGTTTGTGTTCCACTTGCTAAACCAATCCCAGGATGTGCCATTCCAGGGTTTCAGCTGGTAGGAGGGATACTTTTTCTCCCAACTATGGCGTAACAGTGCTAGACAGGACATCTAATGAAAATGGTTCTAGGGGGTCAGGCAGCTAACTAAGGTTTGTTCCGCTACCCAGATTAGATCAGACCTTTCATTTCTGCCTCACAGACGTCTCACTCCCTCCTACTGTTTTCCAGGAGAGGCCAAGTGGCTCCTCCAGAGCGGCATTGTGATTCTCCTGCCCCACGGGTATGACGGGGCTGGACCCGACCACTCCTCCTGTCGCATAGAGCGTTTCTTGCAGGTATGTCCAGTGCCTTTTTTTTTTAAAATATATTTTATTGATTTTTTACAGAGAGGAAGGGAGAGAGATAGAGAGTTAGAAACATCCATGAGAGAGAGACATCGATCAGCTGCCTCCTGCACATCTCCTACTGGGGATGTGCCCGCAACCAAGATACATGCCCTTGACCGGAATCAAACCCGGGACCCTTCAGTCCGCAGGCCGACGCTCTATCCACTGAGCCAAACCGGTTTCACTTCCAGTGCCTTTTTGATTCCCAGGAATGTTTTCATGATTCCGAGGGGCTTTGAACTAGAATTGCCTCCTCCAGGTACTTAATGAATGTGCCTTAAACTGTCAGACATTATAGTATTTGAATGAAACAGATTTAATGCCCTGGAAGTGGCAAGCCTGGCAGCCTTGTCGCCTCCACTGAGCTCTGTAGTGGCTTCTGCTCTAAGTTTTGCCTTTATTTTCCCACCAGGGTTGCCTATGCACACTCTCTCTCCAAATCAGAGGGGACTAGTAATAATTGTCAGGGTTTTCCGCTTTCTTTTCTCTCCATTGTTTCTGGAGTGGGGTTAGGAGCCATGTCTTCGCTTTTTGTTCCACCACGGTCTTAGAGATTTAGTTCATTGTCACTTTTCGACCTTGTTAGCTGCTTTTGATTTTGTTTTGTCTTTAAAACAAACAAACAGCCCTGGGTGGTTTTGCTCAGTGGATAGATTGTCAGTCGCAGGTTCGATTTCTGTCAAGGGCACATGCCCAGGTTGTGGGCTTGATCCCCAGTAGCGGGAGTGCAGGAGGCAGCCAATCAATGATTCTCTCTCATTGATGTTTCTATCTCTCTTTCCTTCTTCCTTCCTCTCTGAAATAAATAAAAATATTAAAATAAATAAATTAAAAAATGTTAAGCAAATCATTCTAAAAAAACAAAACACCCCTCCCCCCCAAAAAAACCCACAAACAAATCAAACTCTTGTGTTTATTTCATTAGAAGAGTGGGATTCTGACACCATCTTAACTCCATAGTAATCAGAATTTGTATTTTTTAAAAGGTCCCCTCCAGATGCTCCTTGAAATCAGCTGTGTTTGGAAACAACTGTGTTAAAATATGCAGACTTAGGAAAATGGGGGAAGCATCAGACCTCTCCTTTGGTTAATTCTTCTTAGGCTGTAAATTTATTTTCTGGTATTATCTGTAATGGAGGGAAATATTTTTTTCTCACCCTTGAGAGCCCTGTGGTCCCTTTGGAGAGCAGATGTTATGATTGTAGGAGATGATCTGAACATTCTCCTTTCTTTCATTTCTGTCCCAGATGTGTGACAGCGCAGAGGAGGGGGTGGACGGGGACACCGTGAACATGTTTGTGGTAAACCCCACGACTCCTGCTCAGTATTTCCATTTGCTCAGAAGACAGATGGTCCGGAACTTCAGAAAACCCCTCATTGTTGCTTCTCCAAAGATGTTACTCAGGTTCCCTGTAAGTGGGAAACGCTGGTTGGAAGCCTTTCTTCTCTCGTCATTTTATTGTTTTTTGTTTGCTTTTGTATCTAATTATAGTTCTAAATTACAGAAACATCTATTTAGTTTTAGTTGGCTTTGCTTTTCTAAAACTAAACACCTCTCTCTCTCTCTTTCC